CCTGAGTGTCTTTGTCAGAAGTAGTTTGAGATCTTAGGGTTAGTGAGTTATTAATCTCCTCTTCTGCAACTGAAAACTCTCCATGAATCTTCTTCATCTTTCCACATTTCTTGGCTCGTATTCCTTTCATCACCTCTATTAATCAATAATAAACACACACACAAAATGATTTTAACATGAATCACACTTCATAGTCAAAAAAAAGCGAAGCAGAGCAAAAATCATTTCAATGAGAACCCTTTAAAAAATAGTTGGGATTTTTAAACCTGATTTTACATTTCACACTGATTATGATGATCATATTCAAAACTGAAGCTGAAGAAACAAATTGAAGAAGACCCCCCAAAAAATTAGGGTTTTTTTTTTCTTCCTGATTTTCAAGTTTGTTCTGTGTGTGAGAGTGATTGATTTGATACCTTCGGAAGAGATGAGCCTATAGACATGGCCGAGTAAGAGATTATCAGAAGGACGGAGGAGTTTGATTCGAGTGACGCGGAGAGAACCGCCGTCAGGTACGGCGGAGGAGAGGAGGAGAGCCACGTGGTGGTTGGGGTGAGATTTAGCCACTTCGCTCGCGGTTACTGTACAGTAAAATCTCTCCGTTTTACCGTCAGGTCGTTGTAACACCGTCGTTGCCGTCTCCGCCGCCTGACAGTTCCCCATTTCACGGCGGAGAAAAAGTAAGGAGAGAGAGAGGAGCAAGTGTAGGTGCAGAGAGGACTATAGGAACATAGCTTCTTGCTTATATACTCACTATTTTAATAGTCGTAGTGAAAATGTTAACATTTTTATATTACATGTTAATATGTTTCCATACTTCATTTTGTCAGCTACTATAATTTTAGTAGAAATATTCGATTCCATTTTTTATAACACCACAAAATCGTGGGAAAACAAAATTATATGTTTGTTAAACTGAAATGGTGGAATCTTTAAGTGGTAAAAATATTAGTTTATGACCATTTTCGAATATAGAGTTATGATTTTATCAAGCTTTCGAAATAAAGATGTTTGACATT